CTGGGGTCTGGGGATCGAGAAAAATTCCCGACAGTCGACAGCCGACCAGCAGGGTTTGGTTTCAGGGATTCACACGCCAGCTTTTGTCGTCCACTCCCGTTTGCCGGTTTTTCATTTAGTAGGTATTCATTTTAAAGCTTGTAAATAGGTCTGTTCGCACAGAAATCACAAACCAGTCAGAGCGAATTTCATTGGTTGAAAACAGTCAGAAAACTAGTTTCAACCAATGAAATTCACTTTGGCTAATTTGCAATTTCTATGCGAACACACCTATTAGTATAGTGTTTACTTTTTATTGAGAATGCCTAGAAAAAAGTGTAATATTTTCAAGTTTTTTGTGTTATAATCGATAGCTTTCACAAGTTCGTCATCTCCTATAGAAACACTTTATTCATAGATCTACCAAATATAAGCAGATATTTTTTTCATTTTATATTATACCCCATTACTGTTTTTCTTTCATGCTCATTATTCTCGTTCATTCTCGTTCGTGCTCGGAGAACGTTCTCCAAAAATAAATTCTCGAGCATTTTACAACACTAGTTGGAACAGAGCTAACATATGTAGCAAGAATCAGAAAACGCGCGCTAGCGCCGGCTGTCGGATTCAGTTTGTGGATATGACGTCACAGTGCTAGGAGTGGGAACTTTATACCACGGTATCTTCGCAACGGTTGGTCGTAGCCTAGTGCGGTTTGAAAATTTGTTGTTGGATTTTTATTTTCTGAATCTTTTATTTTTGGGTCACACCCCCTTTAGGATTATCGATAGCAATAATTAAATTTGTTAGTTTAATTCGAACAATACTTGAAATAAAAAGTACTTAAATTATTTTTCAAGTATTTCTACGTAAATGTCATTTCAAGTAGGCAAAACTTGACTCTGACTTCCGTGGAATTTGGTACTTGTACTTGAATTTGGACAATTCAAGTCAATTTACTTGATATTTTAAATATTTCCTTCGGTACTTATACTTGTACTGGTACTTGATTCGTATTATAAAAGAAACTTGTACTTAATACTTAAGTACTTTTTCTTGGTACTTACAACAGCTCTGGTGTCAAATGATAGTTTATAAAAATCTAGGATAGGAATGTAAAATAGGTTTTCCTCTAAAATTAACCGTTCAGGTTTTACAGCCTGACAAAGTTGCAATAAGTCAATTTTCAACTGTCAATATTTCCAAAACAGTTGAACTTAGGTATGGGGTATATCACATGAAATCTGCTCAGAATTTTACGTAGAATCCAAATATGCAATGACATGCAGGGTGTTCCATTTAAAATAGCGATGTTGCCACTAGTTTAGAGTAGAAGCGGCAACACCGCATGGTCAAAAAACATTTTAAATTGTAGATCATGGTCGTTTATTCCGGTTGCCAAATTTTCAAAATGATCCGCTTTTTAGTTCCCCATAAACGTCTAATACGCCATCCACCGTGGGACACCCTGTATGTAATGTTGACATTACAGACTTTTTAAAATCTTGAAAGTGTCTCATTTCTGTACTTTTACATTTTTTTAGGTCGACAATGTATATGCCTGACATTGACAAAAAAAAGTGAAAGCTGGTTTTTTTTTAAGGCCAATTCACACTATTATTTCGTACTATAAAATCTTTTGCCTCAAAAATTGAGGGTTGAAAATAAAATAGTATACAAACCTCGACGGAAAACTTCATTGCTATCTCGAGGTTTTGTTTATCTCGACGCTGCGCGTTTCGATAAACTATACAGGGTGTCCGGTAAGTATATGGCATACTCTCGGGAGCGTATAAGAGGGGTCAAAATTACCCTACTTTGTTATAAAAATAAATCCTAAAGTGCCCCTTAACCGAGATACAGAGCCCCAAAAGAGTACTTGGCGATTAACATTTTTGGCTCTAACTTTTGAACCGACTTGTATAATTTAATGAAGTTTTAATATTTTATGTTGGCTATAAAGACTCATGAAACCATACTACAGTAGATGTTTCTACATAGTCTGGGAAGTCAGGAACGGACTTGCCACCATATACATTTTGCCAAATTTTTGACAGGAGTCATTTTACATAGCTGAAAACTGATTTTTTAAATACTTGAGGATCAACTTGATTATTTAAATAAATTTTGAAGGTAAATGATTAGAAGTGTTACACAAAATCCTAATTTTTTCGGAAACGGCTGATTTAATCGAAACAAATGTAGAGTACCTTTTTTGAAAAAAAATGACCAAAGTATTTAAAAAATCAGTTTTCAGCTCTGTAAAATGACTCCTGTCAAAAATTTGGCACAATGAATATAGAGGCAAGTCCGTTCCTGACTTCCCAGACTATGTGAAACATCTGCTCTAGTATGGTTTTATGAGCCTTTATGGCCAACATAAAATATTAAAACTTCATTAAATTATACAAGTCGGTTCAAAAGTTACAGCCAAAAATGTGAATCGCCAAGTACTCCTTTGGGGCTCTATGTCTCCGTTCAGGGGCACTTTAGGAATTTTTTTTTTTATAACAAAGTAGGGTTATTTTGACCCCTCCTATACACTCCCGAGAGTATGCCATATACTTACCGGACACCCTGTATAACGTTTGACCAGCAATAAAGCATTTTCCGTCTTGGATTGTAATATACTATTACAGTTTAGCTGTTAATTTTACAAGTCAGTGAAGCCAGTAGCTTGTAAAAATCAATTTTCGTTGTTTATGTTTTGACTTGATAAGTGACGTTTTACAAATGAGTGACAAATAAAAACTGTTTTACCTGGCGAATAATGTAAATTACTATTGCAAGATAGCATTTTGATTGAGTTACATGGATTTTGTGACAGCTCCATTGAAGCATATGGTGCATGCTTATATTTAAAGTCGGTTGATAAAAGCGATAAAGTGAATTTTTTCTTGGTTTATGCTAAATCTAAGGAAGCTCCTTTAAGGGTAAGGGTAGTGAGTGTGCCTAGATTAGAATTGTGTGGAGCCTTGGTGTTGGCTCATTTGGTGGATATTTTTAAACAGTCAATTATTGTAAATCTTTGTAAAACTTATTTGAAAAACGAAGTCAATATTTTAAGAAAAAACTAAAAAAATCATACATCGAGAAGCGGCTTAAATAAATTAGTTGGAGGGAAGAAACAAAAAAAAAAACAACAAAATCGAACAAATAAAAAACAAAGAAGAAATAATTATTAAGAATGAAGTTATGGCCATGAAGTTGAGGAAATCAAAATGGAGCAAACAAACATAATAGAAGGAATATAGTACAGGAAATCGAGGAAAACCGCTCACCTGGAGAAGACAGAATCACAAAGAAAGACGTAATATTATTGAGGGACATCATAGAAGGAAAAATAGTTAATCTGATAAATAAATATTGACAAACGGTTCATTTCCGAAAAAAATAAAAGTTGCAAAGATTACACCAGTTTATAAAAAAGGTTCGCTTAAAGATCTTGGCAATTACAGACCAAGCTCCGTCATCATTCAATCAAACACATCCTCAAAAATAGTAGAAAAATTCGTGAAAAAAAGACTTGTGCAACGTATTGAAAACTCTTTCAAATTTGATGAATATCCATGGTTTCCAACAAAAAAGCAATACCTTTGGTGCAACGTCCTACCTACTCGAATATGTAACAGAACAACTTGTCATCAAGGACCATGTAATAATAATAATATTTATTGATTTCCAAAAGGCTTTTGACACAGTCAACATAGACTTGACTCTTTGAAAAAAGTTGAAAAAATAAATGGGAATCAGAGGTACATAGCATATAAATTACTAAAGACTTATTCCATAAACAGAACACATTATACAGTAATAACACAAAATTAAATGTGGGCGTCTCGCAAGGATCCGTATTAGGACCTATCCAATAATATGTTTTGTATTTTCACAGTCTGAAATATTTGAAACTTAAATCAAGATACTTTATGTCCTCTGATGACACACTGCCCATATTATCATAATATAGTGATCAAAAAACAAATGAGAACTTACGACCTCTATTATAGATGGTTATGCAAAAATAAACTTTCTATAAATAAAAACAAAACGGTACCTATATTATGTAAATATAGAACAAAAAATGATCTTCATATATTCTTAAATAAAACAAATCTAAAAGAAGTGACTGAATATAAATATCTAGGTCTAAGAGCCTCAAATTGGGACCTACACATAAAAGGCGTGATTAGCAAGATAGTTCCTATTCCTATGGAAAGTGCAATAAGGAGAAGTGTTGAATATTTAAGCCAAAAATCAAGACCTCTATTGTATAACAGTTTTAACTTAACCCAAATAAGGTATTCGATTATTTGATTCCATGCTGGGGAAATACTGCCGGTTGTCATGTAGCGAGTCTGCGAAAAACTCAGAATAATGCAGTAATGACAATTTTTCAAATCAGTTCAAAAAGTTGAATGAAGTTTGATAAATCCAATGACCTGATAAATCATATAGCAAGAGGTTTCCATTACGCAAATTCACAACATTAAAAAAATCTCAATCCAATCTCCTGTCTACTCGAAAATTCAAATTCCGCATTTCGTGAAAGACTGATTACTGGAAATAAAAATCAATTTCTCCCGAAATCCGGATATAGAGGTAAACTCCAATTTGAAACTGTGCCAATCCAGCGTCCGCAAGCAATCGTCTGTTCTCTAAACAAATGTGAAATTAAAATAAAGAAATTTACCTTTAAAAAAAAAATACACTCAATTTTTACGACTAATAAAGCCATTCAACTTTTGAAGTCCCCCTTTTTTTCCGAAAATGAAATATGTAAAATGGGAGGAAAGCATGATTAAATTAGTACGTGCCCTGTGTTTGCGTAGCTTTTCAGCGTCCATATATATGACAGAGAGGTTCAAATGAAGTGGAAAACAATGGAACACGTTTAGGTAGAAAAGCCGATGATGAAAATGAAAAAAAAAAGCAAAACTCCACCTTGGGGAAATCAATTAAATGAAACCCGAACGGATATTTTGCCTTTGGAGGGTTTCAATTTTTTTTCTTTTTTGTTGCAGCAAGACTGTCCAAATGGTAGACTAACGCCCGCCAAATTCGTAGACATGTACAAAATGTTCTTCCCGAGCGGTAACGCGGAAGAATTTTGCGATCACGTCTTCAGGACATTTGATATGGATAAAAATGGTTATATTGACTTTAAAGTAAGTACCTACTTATATTCTCTTATTATATCTCTTATACTCTCTATCTTTATTCTTGTATTGTATTTGTATTAATTATAAGAAGTGAAAACTTACTTGAAAAAATTACTCATTTATAGAAAATACACAATTTCTTTTTATACAGGGTATACCTAACGTGGACTCAAAATGGGACAAACGCTTATTTAAGTCAATTAGCAGTTTCACAATAGAAAAAACACATTCTTAATAAGTTTTATTTTATTTATTGAAATAGAAGGTACTACAAATTTAAATAAGTATTGGTATGAAACATAATTGCTCAGGTGTTTTTATATTTGTCAGAGGAACAAATCTGATTCAATACATGTTTCTAGAATAAGGACCCTGAAGTCATCACCAGTCCTTATTCTAGAAACAGAAACCGGGGAATAGCGTTCCCAAAAGAACAAGTGTTTTGTCTTTGTTACTTATATCAGATATCATTTGCATGTCATTTATGGCTAGTTGCACCAAGAGTCTGTTAATCCAAATTTAATAAAACTGGGATTCAAAAATAAACTCCGATCATTTGACCTGACGTTGCACGACACACAACTAAGCTTGGTTTGATTCAACTAGTAACCCTTAGGATTTTTTTCATTTTGGTTGGCAAACATGTTGAAAATTTGTCAAATGTGAAAGCAAAAATAGAAAATATGACCTAAAGTTTGTTTTTTTTTTTTTAAAGATAATTCCCCAAGTCAAAAATGTAGTAACTTTGTTGGCAACACAAGCCTTTTCTACATAAAAAAATTGGAAGCATTGACAATTTTACATTGTATTGCCAACATAATGTCATTTTGACTTTTATCTTTAAAAAAAAAAACAGATTTTAGAAAGCGAATTATTTTTTGATTTTTTTGTAAGCTTTTCTGAATTGAAGCAGTGGCCACTGACCCCTTTGTATTTTCTAATTTTTTTCTGCTAATTCGCTTCATTTGACAAAATGGATCCTCTAATAGCTAGGGTTTCCATACGTCCGGATTTACCCGGACATGTTTGGGTTTTTAGGGTGTCCGGGGAAGTCCGGCCAGAATTCGGAACAATGTCCGGAAAACTCGGAGATCGTCAAAAAAACTTCGCTTTGTTGAATATTTCAATTACTCTAGATTTCATTCGTTAGGATACTACACCCCTACCAGTACCGACAGAAACTTTTCGAACGTACCCCTTTTCTATACTCCGGTGTCACTCCAACGTCAAATATTGGTTCGAACGTGTTCGACGGGAGCTCGGAGCACTATGAGTTTTTCTTTGCTATAATTATAGGTCTATTTCTGCAGAAATCACATACCAGACAGAGTGAATTTCATTGGTCGAAACTAGTTTTCTGACTGTTTTCAACCAATGAAATTCGCTCTGACTGGTTTGTGATTTCTGCAAAAAAAAAAAACCCTATGACATATATAGAGAGTGAGATGGAAATATATTGACTAAGGCCCATATTCTCCGTAGTTCATAAAGCCTGGCTCAGTGGAAACGCTTGGCTTTTTGTGTGACAAAGCCGAGCTTTTCCACTAAGCCAGGCTTTATGACCTACGGAGAATATGGCCCTATATAGTTGATTTGAAACGGGAATTGACCTATCTTTTTTTACCTTGACTGCGCGCGCAACTCGTGGGTCACAGGTGAGCGTCCAATGAGAAGCGAGTTTATTACGGGCTTGCATCATATTTTTATTCAGTAGACAGTTCAGAATCAAACGTTCCTTCTTTATTTGTGACGTGTAATTCGACAAAGAGCAAACTAATACTTTACGTATTACTACTTAACTCACCGCAGTGTTGTTTGAAATTATGTCAGATTATACTTGACATATTTCTTTGCACTTTCATTGTGCGATGTTGCCCGATGGAACTTTTATCAAAATGAAAGTGCAAACGATGTTAAAATACACGTTAAAGCTCTATTTTGTCTGATTTAAAGCGTTGTAAAACACGCTGTAAAAAATCTCTTTTTATTGGTATAATGTTCCGACTTGTATTGTCTAGATTTGTTCTGCTAAAATACAAACTGGCTACACTGCAACCCACTAGTTGCGCGCGCATATCATCTTTCATTACTTTCCAACTTGTATTTATCACAATCAAGCTATCTTTTTCTATTTATGCGATACAGGTCAATTCACGCGGTAAAATAGGTACTAAATCGGTATCTGTGAATCCCAAAGGATTCCCAAAAGTTCGTTTAAATTGTGATTTATGTGGGCCCTGCGCTGTTGCACGCATCGCAACGTTATACAGGGTGTCACGAAAGGTTTGTTACAAACTTCTAGGGATGGTAGATCTCGTAAAAATAAAGCTTTTTTCTTAATAAACATGTGTCCGGAAATGCTTCGCTCGAGCTCCCTGGGGAGCTCGAGGAGCGGAATAAGCTTGGTCAGAGATGCTAATTCTCTCCATCCTAGCCAACCTCAATCAGCCACTCCTTCCCTCGTGATTCTGGTTATTGCTCGTCTGGCAGCCCCCTCCACCACTATGTGAAGTGGTGCGAGACCTAAAATTGTCTCGATGGCTGCTGTGGGGCAAGTTCTCATTGCGCCTGTAATGCATGTGCAGGCCAGGCGCTGTAGTTTGTTGAGAGCTGCTTTTATGTTCTGCTTCTCAACTGCATTGATCCAGACTACCGATCCGTATAGTAGGGTTGGTCTTACTATCATGGTGTACATCCATCCCAAGATCCCTGGTTTGCATCCCCAGGTTTTGCCCGCGAGGCTTCGGCACACCATGAGAGCTCTCGTAGCCTTGGTTACAGCTCCCTCGATGTGTTTGTTCCATCTGAGCTTGCGAGCCAGCGTTACGCCGAGATATCTGACTTCCGATGCCGGTATAATGATAGTTCCGTGTATCCGGATGTCCTTCATTCTAGAAAGTTCTCTCTTCCTAGTGAAAGGCACTACAGCGGTTTTCGATGGGTTTATCTCCAGTCCCACTGTTTTACACCAATCCTCCGTTGCTTTAAGTCCGGTCTGTATGAGTTCACACAGGATGCCCTCGAACTTTCCTCTTGCCATGATGACGATATCATCGGCATACCCAACGCAGTCCAGGTCCTGGTTGTTCAATATTTCTAGCAGTTCGTCCACCACCAAGCTCCACATCAGGGGTGAGCATACTCCGCCCTGGGGAGTGCCTCTAGTGGTGCTCACTTCAATAAACTCGGTGCCTACTGAAGTCTCTGCTGTCCTTGTGGCAAGCATCCTACACATTCATCGGGATATTGTGTCGTTGACTTCCCTTCTCGCTAGAGTTCTCCGAATGGCCACATGGGATGTGTTGTCGCGATGTCTAGGAAAGCGCACAATGCGACTTCTTTCCCTTCCAGAGATTCTTGTATCCTACTCGTCAGTTGGAACAGAGCTGTCTCAGTGGATCTACCTGCTCTGTAAGCGTGTTGACTCGCGTTCACCGGCCGCCTTTCCAATGCAGTGAATCTGATATAGCTATCTACTGCCTTCTCCATTGTCTTTAAAAGGAACGACGTGAGGCTTATTGGTCTGAAGGATCTGGGGTCTGTCCCAGCCTTCTTGCCTACCTTCGGTATGAAAGTGACTCTCGCCCTTCTCCATATTTGAGGTATATATCCCATTGCCATGCTGCTTCTGGTTATATCTACAAGGTGCGGCATGATCTCTGTTTTTCCTCTTTGTAGGAGTGCTGGAAAGATCTCGTCCACTCCTGGCGATTTCAGAGGTTCGAATGTGTTCAATGCCCATTCGAGCCGCCTATTGGTGAGTACTACTTTTGCTATTTCCCAGTCCTCCCTTGTGGGGCGTCTGGGGTACGATCTTTCCTCACTTCTGTTTGTACGTTTGCTGCCTGGGAAGTGTTTGCTTAAAAGAAGGAGCGCACGCTCTTCTTCACCTTCCGTGTAGGTACCATCTGGCTTCTTAAGAGCTATTGTCAAACACGCTCCCTCTTTGGCCATTGCCTTGCGTAGTCTAGCGGCTACTGGAGTCGAGGTGATGTTTTCACAGAAAGTCCTAAAGTTGTTTCTTTTTGCCTTTCTGATTTCTTTGTTGTATTCTGTGAGGGCCTCTGTGTACCGCTGCCACTCTCCGGTTCTCCTGGCTGTGTTGAATAAACACCGAGCCTGGGTCCGGAGGCGTGCTAGCTTTGCATTCCACCATGGGGCCTCACAGGGCCGGATTAACCAAAAGGCGGAATTGGGCGATCGCCCAGGGGCGAAAAGTCAAAGGGGGCGAAAAATTTCAAAAAACCACCGAGAAAAATAAGATGGAAAAAATCAAAAAATCAGACAGCAAAATGACAAAAACTCGACATCTTACACACATAATATGACAAAATTTTCACCTTGGAACTGGATTTTTGTATAAATTTTTCATAATAGCTTTATTCCTTAGAGCAGGTAAAGGTAAAGAGGAGTAGTAGCATGGAGTTGGAAAATGAAGCCGTTTTTTCCCAGGTATTTTGGCACCAAAAAAATGGCGGTATAGGCAATTCGATGCTTCACCTGTATTTTGGTGCCAAACACCTGCCAAAAACTTGGCTTCACTGTTTCATAAGCAGAATGGCGTGTTCCTACTCCTTATGTCCGTAGGACAGCGTCTTACCTGCTCTACACTTTATTTTTTCCCAAGATAGATTTTGACATTGAAAACTTTGAAAACATAAACAATAACGCTTGACTCTGATTGGTCACAAAATGAGGTGTTTCTGCAGGTTGACATCAGTTTTACAATAGCGACCAATAAGCGGAATTAGCGGCATTGTTTATGTTTCGAAGTTGACAATGCCAAAATCTATCTTGGGAAAAAATAAAGTATAAGCTTTATTCGGTTTGAAAAATGACGGTTCTAGAATGGTTCAAAACAATCGCATAGTTCATCAATCAACAAAATAACAACGGCTCGGCTATCACACAAATTTCAATAATAAACTGTGGATTGTTTGGACCGTTCTAGAACCGTCCGTTTTTCAAACCCGAACAGGCCTATTATCTGATGGGGGAATAAGAAC